CCCCAAAACCCCAAAACCCCAAAACCCCAAAACCCCAATTTAATTATTATATATTGAAACTCAATGAACGTTGGCTTTTACCCTAAAGAGACAAATAAAATAAAATTGATGAACCAGACCATCGATTCTAGAGTAATTCACCACTAGCCTCAATCTGACTTTCTTATAGCTAAAATCTCCACTGTTCTCTCCATTATTAAGAGCCAAAAACGATACCACAAGGTAGTTTTCATGAATAAAAATCACAGCTCATGGGGATCTCGTAAGAGAGGTTTTCTATCTGTCTCCAGAAACAGGAATAATCTGACCGCCAAAATCTCACCACGAGAAAGTAGCAGGAATGCCTTTTCCGATTCTAGCTCAGCTAGGGAGACCATTTTCTCTACTAATGCAAATATTGGAATAAAATAAGGTAAATTTCGGCTCAATCTCTAGTACAAGCTGAGCCCAAAAGAGATCGCCACTGACATCATCCAAAAGTACAACACTCGAGTCTCGAACTATCATCAGACGCAGAAAGCTCCCAGAAAAGTCATTGCTAACAAATTTAGCAGTTATAAATTACGTAGTTTCATAGAAAAGGAGATAAAACTTAAGAAGAACATCCCTGACTGAACTAAGTATTCAAATATCACCGATTGGTCCAAAAAGGGTAAATTTGCAATGTCTAAAGGTCCCAAGATGAGATGGATGTGGCATATCTTCCATGAGGCTAAGAGCAAACCCGCACCTGATTCTTACAACCTTGATGCTAAGAAGAATAATAAAGGAGTCTTTATTTCTCGAGAAAATAAGACTTATATTGATGAAATGATGTATAGAGCTTATGCCACTCCTGGTCCTTACGATAAGATTGACAGTCTGATTCTCAAGAAATCTGGCTTCAAAGGAGTTAGTTTTAATGCCATCAAATCAGGACGGTTTAAGCCATTGATAAAGACACCAGATCCAGGCCCTGCAACGTATAAAATTGAAAAATCTTTGGAAAGAATAGAACCAAAGTCAAAAGGGTTTAAGATCTCTCCGACTAAAATAGTCAGATATGCTAGCCTAGAAGCGAAACAGAAGTCTTCGATTCCTCCTGTTGGCCACTACAAAGGGCTTGACCTGGCCTATAAGAAGGCATTCAAGCCGATGAGGAGAAGTAGGAGATAATTCATTTAATTTTCAATTAGACTCAACGTGAAGGGGTTTTGGGGTTTTGGGGTTTTGGGGTTTTGGGG